CTTCTTAAACTATTTCAGTGTCATTCACACTATCGAGACTTTATCACAAAATATCATTTACCCGCGACTAAATTTCCTTATGTTTTTGGTAAGTTTCATTCACCCCAAAATAATTTCATTCACCCTTTGGTGAACCATTCACCAGTGCATTGTTTAAGTAAGTGCCTGCTGCGCTATGAATAAAAATATTGTTGCCTTTTTATATATTGTAGATATCGACGAATGTATGGATAAGACACACTCATGTGATGTACCAAGAGCATTTTGCTTCAATATACCCGGAACCTATTTATGTCAGTGTGTCACACCTTATTATGAGGGAGATGGAGAAACGTGTATTGGTAGGTGCTTATTATCATACATGCAAACTATACACATTATGAAGGTTTATTTCATTTTTATTATGGTAATACTGGTGGTAAGAGACCATACTCTACCACAATTATCGATTACTGATACATGTCATTTAGATAAGATATGGTAAAATTATAAGATAACAGGTAATCTTCTGCATGCCTGTGATTAACTCATATTATTACCACATAATATTACCTAATTATAATCACATCACTATATTACATTGTCGTACTACTGCTGTGTGAACTCCAATCACAGCTGGCATAATTCACTAAGAACAAAAATTGCAATACAACACTGTCATATTAATATAATAATAACTGGTTACCACAACTTGCATCTTGCTGACTGTCCGTCGATATTTTTGTAAGTAGACTATATTTAAATATTTCAGATATAAATGAGTGTGCAAGAAGTGATACGAACAACTGTACTGTAGGAACAGTCTGTGTGAACTTAGAATTTGCACCTGGCTATGACTGTGTAGGTGAGTAAACTGGTAGTAGTACTGGTATTTATAGGTAAGTACTAACCTTTAACTGTGACATAAAATGAAAACATGCACGACTCGAATATGCGTATTTGAGTGAATTAGCATATATCTCAGTGTTTTGTTCCTCAAACAACACTATATATAGTGTTGTTTGAGGACATCATACATATATTTTCACATATATATGTGAATAAAACTTTTTACACCGTTGCTGTATGGATTTATTTTCCAGATGATAATGAATGCTTCAAGTTTGAGCATGACTGTGACCCTGTGAGCACATCATGTGAGAATGCAGATGGCAGCTTCTTGTGTCTTTGCCGTGACGGTTACCAGCCCATCAACAGGTCCACCTGCAGTGGTGAGTCTTATTTAAGCCTAGGACACACTGTGCGATTTTCTACGCTGGCTGCTTGCGATCCGCCGATCGATAAATACGGTGCCGGGTCGAAAAACCGGGCGGAAATATTCAACATGTTGAATACAAGCGATGCGCCGGGCGTATGAGATCACGAGCGAAATACGCTGCCGTGAGACCGGACACACCGCGCGGGGACCCGGCACCGTATTTATCGATCGCAAGCGGCCAGCGTAGAAAATCGCGCAGTGTGTCCTAGGCTTTATCTTGCTACCCTTGATGCTTGATGCCAAATGCTTTGTAATGTATCAGTGACACTGTCCTCGCTAGAATCATGAACGTGTGTATGCTCACTCATTTAGTGCGTCAAGTAAATCACCTACGTTCGTACTAAAATAAGTGAAACGTGTCCAGCATCTATATTTTATGGTGTATATAGTTATCTTAGATGTAGCAGAGAGCAGACTTGTTCATGTATGTTCATATGTTTCCTACTTCCACAGTACCTCCCCTTTAGTAGATTCCACTTCTAGATATACATCTCTCTCGCTTTCGCGCTCTCTCTCTCTCTCTCTCGCTTTCGCGCTCTCTCTCTCTCTTTCTCACTGCTCTCCTTCTCTCTCTCTCTTTTCTTCTCCTCTCTCTCTCTCTCTCTCTCTGCTGCTCTCTCTCTCTCGTCTCTCTCTCTCTCTCTCTCTGCTCTCTCTTCTCGTCTCTTCTCTCGCTCGCTCGCTCTCTCTCTCTCTCTCTCTTCTCTCACCCCCCCCCCCGCCCCCCCCCCCCCCCCCCACTCTCTCTCTCTCTCTCTCTCTCTCTCTCTCTCTCTCTCTCTCTCTCTCTCTCTCTCTCTCTCTCTTCTCTCTCTCGTCATCTCATCTCTCTCTCTCAGTCTCCTGCTTCTCTTCTTCTCTCTCTCCTCTCTTTCTCTCTCTCTCTCTCTCTCTCTCTATCTCTCTCTCTCTCTCATCTCTCTCTCTCTTTCCTCTCTTTCACCGCTCTCCCAACGCCCCTTTCTCGCACTCTCTCTCTCTCTATCTCTCTCTAGTCTCCCTATCTCTCTTTTGAAAGAGGGCCAGGAGAGAAGGAGGGAGTAAAGATTTAATGTGTGATTCCCATGCACACTGCATTGTTAGTAATGTGTAAATGTGTGATAGCAAAACTAGCTAGTAATGACATTGATTCTAAACATACGTCATCTTGGTGCGCAATGTTGTCATGCTCTTTTGATTTTCTTTGGTTGGTGTTGTATCTAATTTCCATGGATATTTTGCATCAGCAATATTGTACGTATCGCTAATGTTCAGTATCTACATGTGCAATGCTTGCAGATATTAACGAGTGTGCTGAGAGCACTGACAACTGTGATGTGTCCAGCACAGACTGTGACAACATTCCAGGAAAGCTTCAAGTGTGACTGTCAGAGTAATGACCCTCATACGTCAAACAAGGAGGTCTTGTCGAGGTAAGCTAGGGCGAGTGATATGCTAGTGACTTAATGGTAGTGCTTATTGTACGTGCTTAATGTGCGTGTTGTACATGATATCAGGAGTAGATAGTAGGAAGGAGTGTGAACTCAATAAACCAAGGGGAAAATTCGTCTTTACTGAGCCTTAAAGTATTACGATTTACTACGCGTAACTCACACTTGAGCTCAAATCGTACAAGCAGTAGCATTCGCGTAGCATCGTGCGAAATCGTTTCCGTCGTTTACACAAGCATCCGGAGATACAGACTAATAACGTACGACAGATTATCCATTTTTGGCCATCATCCAAAGCGCATTGCCGCGCGCTCTAAGTCAAACAATAAGGCGTACATAACCACAGCTTGGCTAACTCGGGCGGGCAATGTGGCTCGCTGGGAGGATCTTGAGCCCAATCAGTGCTGCTGATTGGCCTTGCGTGCGTGCGTGCGGGCATGTGGCAGAGGTGCTTCTGTACGCCGGTATGCCTGTGACGGGTCAAAGGTTATCCTCGCCGAGTGTTGCGATGCTAATCTCCAGCGAGCCCATCCTCGGCCGAGTAGCAATAGCGGCGTTAGGTAGCTGCTTTTGTTTGAATAGAGCGCGCATGGCTTTGGATTGATGGCCAAAGAATGGAGAATCGTGTCGTAGCGTTTTAGTCTGTATCTCCGGATTGCGGGCTGTATACAGGAAACGATTTTCGCACGATTGCTGGGCGAATGTACTGTTCCCGATTTAAGCTCATAGTTGGATTGAGTTTACGCAAGTAATCGTATGGTATTATAAGGCTAGTAAATGACGAATTTTCCTTGTTTATTGATGTCACACTCCTTCCCTATTATCTACTCCTGATGATATGCTACTCCTAACATTGAGGAAAGATGCTGTTAAGAGTAATGAGCTAGAGTTTCGAGTGTTCGAGTGTTTTTATAATCTACATTACTGACAGCATGGCTTAGGCTACTGCCTGGCATGCTTGCACTCTGTTTTACATGTGAATGTACCAATTTTGACGTGACACATCTGGTTTCAACATAAATGAGGATTTCAGAGATGTGCACCTTATGTTGTAGGCTGTTAATTGTTATTTATTAATTATTAATTGTTATTGATTATTCCAATTGTTCCTGATATCCAAGTGAATATGATGACGAGTGTGCATGTCAATGTGGTATTTTGTCATGTCTGTCTCTAGTCAGAGCAAGCAATATTAGATCAGCCGGCAGCGTTGCCGGTTCCTCTGTTGATGAATCAACCGCGAGAGCTCCTCCTGTGCGAAATAGGGGGACTAGAAACAGAAACAGGAACAGAAACAAGCGCACAGCTGATATCATTGTGGAAGCAGAGCTGGAGCAGAATAGTGACTGGAAAAGCCCGATCTCCGGTAACAATTATATTCGTGAGAACTCTAGTAAAGTAGGTAGGGGGGGGGGGTGTAACTGTAAACTGGAAATAATGTATAAATAATCCCACCCTCTCTGTGAATGTGCAGTAATTTTGGGCTTTATGCACAGATAAATTTTGGGCTTCATTTCTGTACGTCTGCCATTACACAGCATCATAGAAAACTGAAGAGCTATGATGTACCTAGATGTAGGACATAGAGTAGTACCTATGATAGGCGAAAATTTACCTTTACACTAGAATTTTAACAAAGGTTAACGAGAGTCGACTCAAACACTCGTCTTAGACATGAGATTAAAGTGTAGAGGAGCCTGACCGACTTGACGTTTGTGCATTCTGTTGCAGTAAATTGCAAGCTGAATGGCGTGGAACTTCGAGTTGAATTACGAGACTTTGCCACGTCGGGCGTATTCAGCGGCGCCATCTATGTGCAGCATAGCGAGAACGACGAGCCGTGTCGTCTGCTACTGCGGGAGGAGACACGGAAGGATGTCAGTGTCTACTTCTCGTATGGCGATTGCAACCATACGCTGACGCTTGGGGAAAATGTAAGTTATGGTCATTTGCACTGCTTCTGTAATAGTGCAGTGTTTCCCCTGCATTGACATGAGCGACGCGGGCTGCCTTGCTCAAATTCTCAGCCGCCACACAGAAATTTGTCCAAAACACTGCCTCGCTGACAAAAATCACTGTTCTTTCATAGAACAGTGCTTAGAATGCACCAAATTGCACCATTTTTTCAAAAAAATTTCCAGGTGACATGCCCCCGGAACCCCCTAGCTGGGCGAGCACATGCGGTGCGCGGTTTGCTAGGACCTCAAAATGCCCAAACAAAAAAACAAACAATTTACGACCTCACAGACCTTTTTGGTCAGGAGAAACACTGATAGTGTACCACTAGAAAGGTTACCCTTGGAAAATTTCTTGTACCTGTTGTATAGATTAATGCAACTCTGCATTTCAGGCATACATACATGGGTGAGCTGAGATAAATCAGCAATGCATAGTGAAGTTGAACATTTCAATAGCGAAACAACTAAAATAGATGCATTTTCCTAATTTGTACGTCTCTGACAGGCTAATTACGTTATGACATACAATGGGTGGCAGCAATTTTTAAGCTCATATTGCCACTCTTCTGATATGAGGCATCGATTTATTTCTGTATGAGTTACATCTGCTGGTTCTGTCCTTGTTTCCACTATGGCAGATCATAGATCAAGGCTCTCTTCCAGTAGAATCATTGGCATGCCAGTGATCCCACTTGTTGATTATAAAGGGAAATAAGTAGAAAATTAGGAGTAATCCTCTATGATTACTTGCTCGTGAAAATGAATGCACACTCCGCTAAATAGTTTGCTTGATGGTTTACTTCAGGATGAAACCTACACGATGTCGGTGGTTGTGCAGCCACATACTCAGCTCACAACAAAAGAAGCAAGATTGTTTACCATTCAGTGCCTCTATAGAGATGTTGACATCGTACTAGCTGACAGCAGTAGCAAGGATGTCCCTAGTTTACGACCTCGGGTAGCTGGAATCGACAAAAACCGACTACATAGTGGCATTGTCAAGCATGAAAATAGGTGTGTATGCTCACGTACGTGCATGCATCTCTCTGTCTGTCTGCCTGCCTGCATGCCTGCCTGCCTGCCTGCCTGCCTGCCTGCCTGCCTGCCTGCCTGCCTGCCTGCCTGCATGCCTGCCTGTCACTGTGACTGTTATTGAATCTGTGTCTGTGTGTGCATAAAGCTGGCTAATTTTGCAAAAAAAGAAATACTAACAGTCTGACAGTAAAATGAGTTCTCTCACTTTGAGTGCTTCCTTCATGTCTTGATGAATCACATTGACAATTAATCCTCACTGTGGGAAGCCAGGTCTGGTGCTAACTCCGGGGGCAGCCACAGCAACTAGACCCACGGCACTGCGCTATGGATCTGCCACGAATTGCCTAAATGCCATATACTGCTATTACCTAATACCAAGGGTTAATAATGACAAATGTGTAAATTTTAATTTGTCACTGTTAACCCCTGATAATACTGTATGCAAAGCAAGCTATTAACATCACAGAGTATATCGTCAGTTTTGTAAACACAGGAACCTAGAGCATACTAGATAACAGTCCGTCTTTATTAGCTATTTTAATCGTGATTATGACAGTGTTGTTCGTAATAACGTTCTATATGGGTCTTCTATTACAGTGATGTGGACGATCTTATTGACTGGAGCGAAGTCCTAACTATTGTCAATGCAGATAGTGCTAAGGTAGTAACTGCAGCTTTAGATGAACTGCTCTACTTGCGGTTGGCACTTACACTAGGTAAATCCCTTGCCATATGCAGCCTCCGGTGACAAGTAGCATTAGTTAATACTCGTCAGAGTTATGTTGCCTTATATGTTATGTAAAAATGTGTTTGCTTACATTTCCCAGTATTGATGGATTTATATAGTTTGACCTGTAAGACTGCTATAAAGTTTTTATCATCTGGATATACCATTAATTTTTACCAGGTGTTACTATTCCCTTCTATTCCATTCTGGAAAATGTGCTTACCAACATACAATTTTTGCACATGTCTTGTGGTTCAATCCTGCATGAACTCTGATTGGATATATTCTAGAAGAACACAAAGGTTTTGAGCTGGCCGTAAAAACCTGTCAAGTTCGCGATGAGCATGGAAATACAGTTGCAGTGATTGATGATGTCGGGTGAGTTAGTAGTGATCACATTGCCAAAATTCACAAAGCGGTTGCATAAAAAAGTTTCATGATATATATTTTACCAAGTTAATTGCAACATTTTCCCAACTCGCTTTTTTGTCAATATATTTATGCCCACACAGCTGCGTAATAGACATCTTTTCCTCGTAGTATGCAGATGGTACAAGTGACCTCAACTCTGTCGCTGTATTATAATATTTATCCCTATTGTCCGATGTGCGTCAGGTGCAGTGTACGTCATGCAATGCTGACAAGCCTGGAGCGAATATCAATGAAGGAGCTTCGAGCAAATTTCCGTGCTTTCACCTCGCCCAGCAGTCATCACATACAGTTCATGTGCGAAGTTGTGGTCTGTACAGAAGGCTGTGAACAGGTATGCCGCTTCACTGTGTGAGGTTTCTCTGAGATTTACACCAGTATTGGAGAGGATAATAAATTCACATTAAAAATGTTTTTAGGAACTCACGAAGTACATCAGTGCAAAGTTTCACATTTCAATGTAAAAACTGCACAATTCATGTGCCTCCCCACCTTGCTATAAAGCAAGTGACAGTTGTACTAAGTACGTACCATTTAGCCAGCATTGTTACACAACATTAACCAGGTAAATTAGATCTGGTGAAACATCATTTCTACAAAGCATTGCTCCTGGCAGCATCTTTGCATCACATAGGGCTGTTTAAATATCCCGTCACATTGATCGTGACATACAGGTCACTGAATCATCACCTCTGAACAGCACTTCCAACTGCTGCTGTCCCCAAACGTCCCCGTTAAGCAAATGAACTTTGAAGGATACATGGACTTAATTCTCACCTTACATGTGATGCGATGTGTAATTTTTAGCATGGTATGTCAATGTTATGTATCATTAATTTGTATACATCAACTTTTCAGTTTGACTGCAATAGCAGCCGATCACTCAAGCCTGCGCAGGTGCTGACATCTATGAACGTGACGAGCAACATTGCCTACGTTCAGCCATCACCGAAATCCCCTAGCAATTGTAGGTTTCAGCTTGATCTTTCTAGCTAGTGAGTGAAGTCAGCCAGTGGTTAACGTCGTTATTTTAACGTTTAAGTTAGTTTAGTATAATAAAATGTTTTACGTGGTAGCACATGGTTGAAGCAGTTGATTGCGTTCCATATCATGCAGTGATAAAGAAATTGGCTTTCATGTCATTCATATTCAATGAACTTGCATCTTATACGGAAACTTTGAAATGTGCTCGTAGTAACTGGAGTTACGATTTATATCTAAATAATTGTATTTATTTTCAGATCCCAGTCACGTGGTAGAACCTGAGGACAACTCTAATGAATTATCATTCCTTCACAAATGCTCGTTTAAGCCCATTATTGCAATTTGTACATCACTCTTGCTTATACTGTGTGTAACCTTTGGCCTCGTTAAATCCATTTCTGTGTACTTACATAAAGGAAATGAGAAAAAGTATGATAAAAATCCATTCAGTGAATGAACACCACATTACAATATAGAGATATATATATATTTACAGAACTATTTCCTAGTTTTATCCTCTTGAGAAGTTTTGAAAGGTGTTTGCATGAGTGTTTCTTGCAGTGAGTTTGAAATTCCAAGTGATACAACATACCACCAAAGATGGAGGCTGCAAATTAATCAGTAATTCACTTGATATAACCTCAAAACATACCTTTAAAAGTGTAAGAGAGGAAGACCTGCTATACATGGCCTTTGTAGTAAGATATGCAGAAATGTGAAATATGTGTTTTATAGAATTTGTTTTAATTAACTATTGTATATATTTGAGTGTCATCTGCAAGCGGTTGACGTCTGTATTTGGCTTATCCTATTCAATGATCTAACTAACAATGTTAATGTAATTTTATAGTTTAGTTATTGGACTTTTGGGGGTGAATAACTAATATTAATAATAAACTACGTGACTGGTGATATTCTAAGACCTATAAACTGTAAAAAAGTGTAAATTTATGTACTGTATTACACGTATTACAAATATTTTATATGCCCCAGTGAGATGTATAACATATCTTATAGTTACATTGGTATGAGCATATTTGCACATAACATCGCATCAACTATTCATATCATTTCCTAAATAAAAATTTGTACATAACTCTGTTTTGCATGGTTTAGTCTTTATTAAAAACCCTCGTTAAACTTCCAGCATATCACAACGAACTTTTCCTAAAGAAACTGACTGTGTAAACACTTATATAGAAAACCACTATATTGAATATACCCCATTATGAATTTGCCATACATCTGTATCTGTGAAGCAGTAAACACAAACAGGCTTGATAGCTATTTACATTTTGGTTTCTCCGTAATACTTTCAAGAAACATGCAAGTTGTAAATTTTCCAAGAGTTCCATGCTGTAGTTGCATCTGGTCCCTGATGTGCATTTTACCGCACAGTTCTTCATACATATCCGTAGCGCCAGTCTAGATAACACTCATATTACTACGGCTTAGTAATTGCAGGGTGAAGTAAAAGAATTTTGGAAATTGTGGTTTGAAGAAACTGGCAAAAAGTTGATCATTGGCACTTGGAAACGATGACAGCTACCGAGTTAGGCCTAGAATTTGGTGAACACAGAGGAAGCCATGAGAAGGAGAGAAAAACAGCCACAGAACTGAACGCCTGCAATTGCCTACTTGTCAGCCAAGCTTAGCAGTTATGCAATGTAATCTGCCCTACACCTCAAGACGTAAATGTTACAGAGACGTGTTGCTGCTGCTTTTAAAAAATAAATCTGAAATTGAATCTAATATCCTCTTTCATCCTCCATCTAGCAAAACTAGCTTTCTTTAATCAGCACAAATCCTGCCTCGGCATTGAATTGCATGCATATCACTGCAAAATTCAATCACGAATCGAGTGTCCCATCGGTCTCTGTAGATTCTTCTGACGACAGCACATTGCTGATGACGTGCGGTTTATTTACCTACGAGTTTTTCTCTTTGCGTTATGACTTCCTACATGTTGTAAGCACTACGTCTCCAATTATCAATCGGATCAGATCAGCTGGATGATTTCTCATCCTCATGCTCTATCGGCCTGATGTGATTTAGCACGTTAATTGTCCAGTTGCCATTCACTCCCTTTGTGTACTCTCGAATAAATCTGAAATGTGATCGAATTAATCCGAAATTACGTGAAATAATGACGCTGCTCAAATGCAGACCGGGCACATTATAGACATTCACACATAATTGGCCAGAAAAAGAAACACTTCGTAATTCTTGGAGGATTATAAGTATCTTATGACAGTAAATTATGAAAGTAATCTTATGACAGTGAATTCCCTAAAAAATGTTAATTCAACGCACGACATTGTTGTTGTGACATAAGAGTGTATAGATCAATACGTAGCATTTTTATAAATGGGATGTGACACTTACCTGTAATTTGCTATTGTTATATTAGATTTGTTTTGCTGCAGCTCATTAAAGGTGGCTTCACTGCTCTTTTTGAAAGTATCTAATCCTTTGAAGCAGTGGAACACCATCATAATCTCTAGAAACTTCTTTCCTGCGTGAAGATGTGAAGATAGTATATTGTAAGGATTAGGAAAAGGAAAGGAAATTGCAATTATTATATTTCTAGATACTACCCATGCAAATGTGAGATTTTTTTATTTGGCATCACTAAATCACAGATTAGGCCAAAACAAAATATAGGTGTGGTTACCGTTTCATGCCGAAAAAAATAGGGTAGGTAGGTAGGAAAAACATTTTATTTTATTGAAACATTTTATTTACGAACCATGTCCGAAGTATGTGCGTTGTGCCTTTTGAAACAGGAACTGTCCAATTCATATTTTTATTTTTTATTTTTTACTTTAAAGAAAATTGACAATAAAATGTTTAGGGTCGCTGGGAATAAATAGAGTCGGTCGGGAAACGGTAACCACACCTATATTATGTTTTGGCCTTAGTTGCAATGGGGTATACAGAAGACAATACAAACCCTTTTCTTCATCATATATTATTTCAACCTCGTAAGGAAAGGCAAAATAGATGTCAGAGGTGGGAACTGCTAGAAGCATCTTCTGCTTTAAATCCAACTTATTATAGTTCCACCTCACCTCTCTAAGGGCCTGAAAACAAATGGATGGATCATATAGTGAATTAAAACTTGTGAGGAGAACCACAAATTCTTACCTAAATATCCTGCATTAATGGCTACTCTAAGAAAACGGGTCAGACAGGCTACTGGACAGATCTACTTGTCCTCCGTGGAAATGGACAAGTGAGGACAAACGGATAGCCTTTATTTCGAATACTGTAAACTATTTTCTGGTCTAGACTGATCCCAAGTTATTAGTCTTCCACTGCTTCGGTCTATTGAGATTTATTCTAGGAGTAGCACTACTGTGTTATACAAGACCACTTTTGTGCAGTCGGGTGCATTATTATTACAGCAGTGTTTAATATGAGTAACACTAACAGTTAGAATCATAAATAGCTCTACTAACCTCTCCAGTCACAAGTTTTTCATCCTCCAATTCATCAAACTTTCCATCTGAGAGCAAGTTGGAAACATACGAAAATGCCTGCAAAATATTAAGTCATTCCATACTTTATAATGTGTTTAAATATCAAATTTATCAAGTGCAAATATGCAAATTTTTAATATTGAACTATCAGACCTGTCAAGTATGGCTTTACAAAAAAGAGCAACAAATAAAAAAAACTGTTATACACGTTTACCAAATTAAAATTTATTCAATTTTGCAATTATAAAAATATAAAATTATAGACAGCAGACAAGGGTAGAATGTGGAGGTAAAATATGAGAAAGGGGTAGAGGGGAGAAAGTAGATTATGGAATGGCGGTGGAGTGGGAATGAATAGCAAGGGAAGACATTAGGTAGAGGAGATGAGAAGCTCGACTACTCCAGCCTCTGTGCTTCTCTATCGTCTTTCTCTTATACCATCATCTACTACTCTACCTTCCTTCCCCTATAGATTTTATTGCCTCTCTGCCTCCCCCACCTTCTTTACCTTTCTCTGCCACCATTAGTCTTCCTTTTACCTTATTTCCTTCTACTTCTTTGAACTTCTACCCTCTTCTACCTCCACACATCTACCATTTCTGTTTTCCTCCCCTTTCTACTGCTGCCACCTTCCGCTTATTCTCCTTTATTCTCTCTACATCTTTCAATTACTTCCCTCCTTCCATACCTAGAACTCATTTCCTTTCACTCCTCCCTCCCACTTTCCCCCTCTCCTTCTGCCACCTTCTCTACTGGTTCCAATAATAATTGCTGATTTAGATCACCTCAAGGCTCAACAACACGCAACACATAATTAAAAATATCCACAATCGGCAATTTCCGGCGAAACTCTGAAAGAAACATTTCTGCCAAACATCAAAACAAAACGTGATTCTCATGCTCAGATAAATATCTTCGGTATTACATGACATTAACCTGCTTTGTTCCATCTGTAAACTCCGTGATAGAAAACTTGTTATCAAAATATATTTGCACAAGTTTGTAGTAAATTTGATTTTTTATTGTTTTCCACAAATTTGGCCAAACAATATCATCAACATCCATGAGTTTCATAGGAATATGTTCACTTTTTGTCACATGCTGCTTGTCACTTTCCTCTGGAGAGCAGTAATAACGTCGCTGATCTTGGATATGGTTAGGCCTACTTTTGTCTCGACAATGAACAAAGTAATTCGTTATTGTTATTGCCATGTTGTTGTTTGGTGTTGTTATAGTTGACAAAGACCGAGAGAAGTTTCTAATATTTTGTGCACAATGTCCACTAAGGTCATTGCCGACGATTTTATATCGGATTCGCCAATCTATATTTGCTGCGCAACAATAAAATTGCTTCTGCGAGACAGTCCTCGCATGGTACTTCGGTAAAACGGCCAATTTACTTATAACTTGAAGAAAGTTTCTGTTAACTATAGGGGCGGCCATTTCTAATTCACTTGCCCTGCCCTCTTGCATCATGATTTCGAATTATTCACTTACTTACAGTATTATTGTTTTCTTGCATAATATCATATATGGTAAGTTTTTTGTGATTACAGCAAAATTAGAGACATTAATATAATCCATAGCAGAAAACACTACTTAATAAATTGATAAAATAAAAGAATTCGTGGACGTAAAAATATAACATTATTAATAGATGGCGGTAAACGCTTTTTGAAAGGGAAGGTTCAACTTCAATCTGTTGATGTTTCAAGTTACGACTGCGTTCACATGATCTATAATTCATCTGTACATGTAATTCAACGTCATAAGATCGTAGAGCTAGGGTAATGTTAGCTGTAATACTATGGCCCTTACTGTGACTGTCTGGCACTAGTGTGTCGCAACAATTAATTTATACTAATAAGTATTAGTTTAAGTAATATAGAAATACAGTATTACTATTAGTATTACTAGTATTAGTATTATTACTATTAGTATTACTAGTATTAGTATTACTAGTATTAGTATTACTATTACTATTAGTATTAGCTATTACTATTAGTATTACTATTAGTATTACACTGACACTGTAGTCTGTGTCTGTGACTGTCGGAAAAGACTAATCCCCCGGGCACTCTGTGAGGGCGAGCCCACAATGTAGGGGTGGTCGGGTAGGGTATGGTTAGGTTTAGGTTAGGTTTAGGATTAGGGTTAGGGTTAGGCCTACCCTACCCGACTCTACCCTACCCGACCACCCCTACACTGTGGGCTCACCCTCACAGAGTGCCCGGGGATTAGTCTTACCCGTGACTGTCACTGTCGCTCGTAGGGTCTATGTCCCCCTGACCTCTGTTTGACCTCGCTCGTTTAGCTATTTCTGACTAACCCTAACCCTAACCCTAATCCTAACCCTAACCCTAACCCTAACCCTATATATATTATATATTATATATA